AAGCAAGCAAGCAAGCAGGCAGGCAGGCAAGCAAGCGAGCAAGCGAGCAAGTAACTTTATTTAACCAGGGTAGCCCATTCAGCAACGAGGCTAGTATCCATAGAGGCCCTGTACTTCAAAAGGTCTCAACTAATGTCTTGTGTAAAGAACTTACAAAACTCAAGCTGACTAAGGCAACGGGGCTTGATGGCCTCACAGCGAGACTTCTGAAGGATGCAGCGCCAGTTATAGTGAATCGGTCACGGATCTGGTTAACCTTACTATTTCAACCGGAGTGATTCCATCTGGGAATCTTTACTCCAATTGTACGTCCGCGGATAACATAGACATGGTTTTCTTCTCTTTTTTTCTTTTTCATTTTCTTGCTTTACTTGCCCTAATAGACATCGTCATGAAGTATTCAGCCTGCATGATTTTATTTTCTACGCAAGCATGACATTTTGAGAAAGCTCATCAAATTTCCGGAAACAGGGGTGCATTCTACACTGTTCATTATCAACTGATTGATAGTGCATATTTTTGGAATGATTCAGCGGGAGCTCTGATGATTGCATGTGAAAAACACCCACTACGAGAACTTTAGAACAGAAACGATACGTCGAACATCCGTGGAATGAAACGAAAGAGAAGAACATGAGTTATTATTTATCCACGCAGCTAGCTACGTTTTCAGAACACCCCCTTCACCATGAGAAGGCAGGAGACGAAATGGTAACGGAGAGTTGTCAACTGCATTGGGGAACAAGAGTCCTCCATGGAACGCTTCTCAAAATATACCCAGAGATAAATACTTTAACGCGGTTCAAAAGTTGTTGTTCCACAACAAGTGTTAAAACATTGCAGTGGTACAAGTCGACAATGTACTAGACGTGGGGAGGGAGAAGTCAGGACAACTTGCATTTGCTGGCGAGACAGTCAAGAGTCCCAACAATTTGGACTGTAAAAACGAGATACAGCTTTCAGTTTCTTTTTCAACCCGGTTTATTTCAACCTACTACCAAAATGCCTTAATTAAATACCTACTGCAAATTGATAACTACAGTATATAAATAATTCCATCTTTTATGAGAAAAGCAGAATAGTGCAAATTGTCCACTTCATTTGAACAAAAGTTCATGGCAACTTTTGTCCTGGTCTAGATTATAAGGCTTATCTTCGGAGTTGCCAATAATACGTTGTAGACTATAGCTACTCGATATCACAAACCAATACCTTAAAATTCCTTTTGCAGTGGTATCTTGGTTAGTAAAGTGATCATACACTAATAGATACTGACAGTCCATGGTATAAGAGACAGGAGCTTCTCCTGACTTTCGAGACCATAACTTTGGAGGCTATACCGATATTTTTAAGCTAGTAACAATTTATAATTTGTCAAAACTATACTTGATACAGTTTAGTGACATCGACGCGACCGCACCGCGTTATTTATTTTCTCCTTCTTCGGACAACGCTCGCAGGTTCTAACCGTTTACTTAGTCTCGGTGTTTGGGAATGATCTTTCAAACTGGGTCCGGTGCTGCGTTCTAAGAAATGCACTTTACGTAGCCTTGGGGATCAAGAGCGACAGAATCACAGCTCTCGCGCTGTGACAGACCTGGCCTGCTAGAGACACATTGCTCTGTTGCTTCAGCTGTGCGTGGTATCAAACTGTCATCAGACGGGTCCCTTGGTTCATGGACGGGTGAATTCAAAACAGCTGACGAAGAAGGCCCATCAGGCAGCATGTTTGTATCAGATGCAGGACTCTCTGGCTGGTCTTCCGATAGCCTTTCGCCTTCGGAGGCAATAAATGTTATGTAGCCATTAGGATCAAGGGTGATTGAATCACAACTCTCGCGCCGTCGTAGACCCGGCCTGTTAGAGTTACTTTGCTCATTTGCTTCAGCTATGGGTGGCATCAAATGGGTATCAGACGGACTCTTAGGCTCAGGACATGGTGAGGGTAAGTTGCTATATTGGTGCTCCCCTTTCTCGTAAGCAGCTGGTGAGGAAGGTCTATCACACTGAATCAATGGCTTGTCCTCAGATGGCCTTTTCTCTTCAGAAATTGGTGGAGGTGGAATTACAAGAGATGCGCGTTTCTTTTCAAGAACGTATGGTACCTCACTGTCTGTAGAGGGGATTTCTGTTACGGCACTGAGTGGAGTAGTGTTCATGGCAGCGCCCGATGTCCTTCTTATTTGAGACAAGCGAGGTTGTGGATATCCGCTGGACTCTATCTCGCTCCTTTTCTCAGGATATGATGTCGGATAGCTTACACATCTAGGAATGATTTGGGTGGAAGTCGTGGATGGTTTCCTTGCAGGTGGCAGGGCTGGAGGTTTAAACCGGGCTCTTATTTCATCAGAAGGTGATGGCCACTGAACAGAAATTACTGAAGGTTTACGGGAAGGCTGCAACTCATCTGGATCG